AGTCGTTCATACGCCTGATCCTTTCATTATGGTGCCCCGTTGCCTGAGGCACCGGGAGTAACCCAGAGATCACCACCTTGGATGTTCTGGCCTTGAGTTTGTTCCCCAACTTTTGATACTCGCCCTGGAGTATCTCAGCCCTCTTCTTCCCAATATTGTGGGTCCCCACATGGACCACAACTTCTGGACATTCTCCTTCCCCCTGAAGAATTTTGTCCACACGATGGGTAAAGTCCACTACCCTCGCACCAGGAAGGCAGCAAACCATCCTTGCCTCACGATTCTTATGACAGAAGATCCTGTCAGTGCCTCGCACTGTTGAATCTCCTATCAGAACAGTGTTGCCCGTGTGATCCATGCCCCTGTCCTGTTGGACAGAATGTTCACTGCTCTCCTCACGGGAGGTTTCCACACTCTCAATTGCTAATGCTGAGTACTGATTTGAGACCGGTACTCTGTTGGGGGTGCTCTGCCTTGCACAAGCCCTCTTCTTTCCCCGTCGCACTGTCACCCAATCACTTTTAGCATGCGGCTGTGTGTTAGGCTCCTCTGGGAGTGGTCCTGTTTCTGAACTCTGACCTCCCGATGGCTCCAGTACCCCTCTCTCATGGTTCCTATACAGTGATGGGCTGCTATCACCGAGTCCCAGGGGAGTGAGGGTCCCCTCCACCATACTGTCCAGGAACCTCTCACTGTCCCTGATGGAGCACAGTGTTTGCACCTGGGCTTCCAGCTCAGCTGAAGCTCCCTGATTTCCAGACACTTGCAGCAGATGAAGTCGCCCGGGCTTAAGGCAGCCTCCATCGACTCCCACATGTGACAGACCTCACAGTTTACCTGCCACACCATTCTTCACAATCTTTATATAGATACAAAGATATATAGCCTGCCCCCACTTCCTCTTCTGCACCTAATTCCCACTCTTACCAAATTCCCTCACACTCTGGCCTCGCCTCACTCCGGACATAGCTCACTCTCGGCTCGAGTGAAGCTTGCGCAGCTATCTCCTATTTATACTTTCTGGGTGCAACCCGTTTCTGATTTGCTCAGCAGTAATTTGGAATTAACACCTAATCAAGTGATTAATCAATATGTTAAGTTAGTCAATAAGTTACTTGTTATTGGCTAGGCCTAATTGGCTACAGCTGCTCCCTGTAAAGTTACCCCACAAGACCAATGTACCAATGGTATCAGCAATTTCAACTAACACAAGACTTAAAACTACTACAAGACTTGCATAATAATAATAATCCTTGCATTTGATATAGCGCTTTCACGTAAGGAGGACGTCCCAAAGCGCTTCACAAAACACACTGTAAAGTGAATTGACTGTATATTTGTGGGCAAACACGGCAGCCAATTGCACACAGTAATGTCCCACAAAACAGTCGTAGATTGAAAATGACCAATTTATTGTTGTTTTTGGTTTTGGAGGGATTATTATTAGGCTCTGTGTGGAGTAAGGAAACTTGCCCAAGGTTTCGCCCTCTGCCTGGAATTGAACTCAGGTTTCTCGCTTGCAAAGCGAGTGCTCTAACCACTGAGCTTATAGGACTCCACAACAACAAATTGGGTTATGTACTCACGATAGCAGTTCTCACGACACTCACAGCAGCAATTCCCACTCTCACCAAATTCCCTCACACTCTGGCCTCACCTCACTCCGGACATAGCTCACTCTGGGCTCTCGCAGCTATCTCCTATTTATACTTTCTGGGTGCAACCCGTTTCTGATTTTCTCAGCAGTAATTTGGAATTAACACCTAATCAAGTGATTAATCAAGATATCCAGATGCTCTCCTACTGAAACCTGCTCCACTTGCCCCACTTCATTTTCCAGAACTAAATCCAGCACTGCTTCCTTCCTCGTTGGACTGGAAACATGCTGATCCAGAAAGTTCTCCTGCACACATTTCAGGAGTTCCTTGCTCTTGTGTGTTTCCCAGTCTATGTTAAGATAATTGAAATCCCCCCATTATCACTACTCTATTGGTTCTGCATCTCTCTGAAATCTGCTTGCAGTTTGCTCATCTATCTCCTTCCCACTATTTAGAGGTCTATAGTAAGTACCTAACAGAGTAACAGCTCCTTTTCTGCTCCTTAACTCTAACGAACTAGATTCAGTTTTTGGACCCTCTACCATATCATTCTTTTCCAGGACCGTGATCGTGTTCCTAATGAGTAGTTACCCCTCCTCCTTATTTCCCCTTCCCTGTCCCTCCTGAATAGGTTGTAGCCAGGAATATTCAGCTCCCATTCCTGTCCTTGCTTGAGCCAAGTCTCCGTAATTGCAACTACATCATAGCCCCATGTGGCGACTTGAGCCTGCAGCTCACCAAGCTTATTGGTCATGCTCCGTATATTTACACACATGCACTCCAAGACCGGCTTAATTCGCTCTACATTTCTCACCCGTTTCTTTCCACTTTTTGCTGGACTATTCCTTGTTTCATTTCTATTTGTCTCTCCTCGTCCACTATGTAACTTGTTTCCCTCACTGATGCTACATTCTGATCCCCATCCCCCATCAAAATCAGTTTAAACGCTTCCCCACAGCATTTGTTATCCTTGTTGCAATGACATGGGTCCCAGCCTTGCTCAGGTGTAACCCATCCCTCGTGTACAGCTCCCATCTGCTCCAGAAGTGGTCCCAGTGGTTTAAGAAACCTGAAGCCCTGCTTCCTGCACCAGTTCTCCAGCCAGGCATTCATGTGTTTGATCCTCCCGGTTTGGTATTCACTTGCAAAAGGCATTGGGAATAATCGCGAGATCGCCACCATTGAGGTCCTGCTCTTCAGCTTCTGCCCAAGCTTCTGATATTCTCCCTGTAGGGTCTCAGCCCTTTTATCATCTACATCATGGATCCCGACATGGACCACAACTTCCGGATTTTCCCCTTCCCCCTGTAGTATATTTTGCACCCATTCGGTGACATCATGCACCCTGGCCCCAGGGAGCAGCATACCATGTGCGATCCCCATCTTTTATGGCAGAAATGCCTGTCTATCCCTTTAACTGTTGTATCCCTGATAACAACAGCGTTAGCTTTTTTTCTCCTTGTCCCCCTGAACATCCATTACCTTTTGACTCTTCTCGCCACAGGTGTCCTCACCGGTATCCAGTACCGAGAACCGGTTTATGAGTGCCACACTCTTAGGGGATTTCTGTACTGCCTTTTTTTTTGCTCCACGTCAGATGGTCACCCACTCCCCTTTCTTCTGAGTCCTCTGTGTAGCTGGGGTGACCACCTCCTGAACCCTCTGTGGCTGTGGGGTGACCACCTCCTGAAAAGTGCGATCCATAAATTCTTCAGCCTCCCACATCCTATGTAGTGACTGTAGCCTCTCAAGCTCAGCGACCCTGAGCTCAAGCAGCCGGAGGCACTTCCTACACACGTGTTTGTCCAGAACACATGAATCATCTAGGAGTAGATTTTATTAGTGTTTTTTATTGATTATAATCTATTCATAACTTACAATTAGCCAAGTCCATACTCTGAGACACTAGTCTGTGTGAAGGCCGCTATAAAAATGCAAGTTGTTTTAGTCACAGATCAGCAGAAATAATCTCTACACCATTTTTTCTACCAAAACAGCAGTAGGCTTTGAAAACCTGTATTGGATTCAATCAACTTTCTTTGTTCCAGCCAAAAAAAAGGAAAAAATGTTTATGAAATTATTTTCAATAAAGCAGACTCACTGCTGAGCCCAGATTTTAATTACAATTGTTGGATTAAATCATTCCATTCGTTCCAGCAAACTACATCATTGGGGATTTGAAGAGTTTGGGACTCCAGTATGGAATGAAAATGACTAGGCAGAAATCTGGGATATAGCTAACTTAGCATTGCACCAAACAGACCAGGATGGACAATATTATTCAACACTAATTTCAGCACATCCAATTAAATTACAACAATTATGTAAAGGAATCAGAAAGCTCCACAGCTGAAAAATGTTCACAAAATTATTAATCTTTACAGTCATAAATTGCAGCAAGAGTTAAAATTCAGACACTTAAATAAGGCTATTTTCATAGGCAGCAGCAGAGAATGTCAAGTCTAGGACAACTATTTGAAAAATAGTTACAAGTTTTTTTTTAAAAAAGTAGTCAGAATGGGAGTAATCTTCCAAATATAGATAAAGGCATCACCTTCCAATAGGACAGAGTTTTCACTTGCTCTTCAATCTTCCCATTGCTCACTAGGATATAGTCTGCCTATAGTTTCTCCTTACAGTCAATGACAAGTTCACTCAAGTGAAAGGCAGCACAGAAAAGACCTATTCATCAAGTTTTCATCCAACCTGGCAAGTGAAGCAGACTTTACTTGCAATGCTCAATGATTTTTAAAACAAATGAGAACTTATGAAACCCATCCAAGAGGTTACAATGATGACTGTGGTGATCCTTAAACTGCACACAACATATTCAAATGATCAAAGTGAAGGGAGGCAAAGTCTACCACATCGAGTCTAATTATACAAAGAGAGTTGGAGTGAAATATAACTGAAAAACAAAGCAGCTTTACATTAAAAACTGTACTGCATTAGCCTTCAATGTGGGAGAAAGAAATGAGTGGGAAATACTGAGGACATCATTAGCAAGGGTGGATGACACACATATTTAATAACGACAACAAATTACATTTGTATAGCACGTTTCACATCAGGAGGACATCCCAAAGCGCTGGACCGTCAGGGATCCGCACCTGAGCTGGTGGTTGGGATCAGGAGGAGTGGAGGGCAGGGAGGGTAGGGGTAGCAGGGTGATCGAAGGAATGGTCGAAGAGGAGGGTCTTGAAGGAGGTGAGGCGGAGGGACAGTGGATGGAGTTCCAGAGGGTGGAGGCAGAGTAGCTGAAGGCCTGCCGGCGATGGTGGAGCAGGTGAGGCAGGTGACGTCAAGCAGGTCAGAGCCCACTGAGCGGAGGGAGCGGGCAGAATAGTAAGGGTTTAGGAGGTCACGGAGGTAGGGAGGAGCAAGGCCATGGAGGGCTTTGAAGGCGAGGACCAAGATCTTGAACTGCATCCTCTGAGTGATGGGGAGCCAGTTTAGCCGGACGAGGTTGGGGTTGATAAGGTCGCAGAATCTGGTGCAGGAGAGGACAAGGGCCGCAGAGTTCTGGATGATCTGCAGCCTGTGGAGGAAAGAGTTGGGAAGGTCGATAAGGAGAGAGTTTGCGTAGTTGAGCCTGGATGTAATGAATACGTGGATGAGGGCCTTGGCGGCCTGCGGTGAGAGACAGTGGCAGAGTCAGCAATATTGCAAAGGTGGGGAAAGGGGAGCAGGTCATGGCATGGATGTGGGGATGAAAGACAGTTGAGGATCGAACAGGACGATAAGGTTCCATATTGGCTCCGTAAGTTGTAGAGTACATTCATGAAGGATGATGCTGTTAGTGCCTGAGATATGGAGCTTTGGTCTCATTGATATTCAACTGGAGATAGTTAGCTCTCGTCTAGGACTTGATGACAGACAGTCTGTGAGGACAGCAGTGGTCCTGGAGTCGAGGGTGGAGGCAGAGAGATAGAGTTGTGTCATCTGCATACATGTGGAAATTGACCCCATGTCTCCGGATTATATCACTAAGTGGGAGCATGTTAAGATTGTTGAAATAAGCACTGCGATTTGCATGAGATCTTTAGCCATCTTTAAGTACAGTATTTGCACTCTCAAAAAAATTATATACTGTATAAGCCAAATACATAAGATCTTCCATGATGTCTGTTCATCGCATGGCAAATGTTTTCAAGCTTTGCAGAATTTCAGCATTCCATGATTTGGAGACTGGGATACTGGAAGGAGGAAGTGCAGGAAGAGGATCTCACTTTCAAATACATTATTGGCAGTGATGTAGTCATAACTGTTTGAAAGAGTGAAATGGCAAAGTACAATGTATATAATAAAAAGAGTCCTAGGGATTTTCTCTCACATACATTTAGCCATTCCCAATCTTGAGATCAAGTCCCGTCTCCGCCGCTCTCCTGCCCAGGACTTGCTCTTCTTCCGCAACTTCAACATCTCCTCTTGATAGTCTTCATGGTCCATGGGACAGTACTCAGGAGGGTTGCAGTATCTCTGCAATGCAACAAACGCGTCAGACCAGGGAAAAGATAATAATCCTTGCACTTGAGCGCTTCACAGAATATACTGTAAAGTGAATGGTTGTATATTTTGTGGGAAACACATGGCAGCCAATCCTGCATAGTGGTATATAAACAGTCGTGGATTGAGTGATCAATTTTTTTTTAAAAAAAGAGGATTATTACCCTTAGAAAAGCGATCTGCCAATCGACTAACAACCGTGTTCCTACTTACTACTCAGTAAACAGAGGTGTGTGGAGTAAGGAAACTTGCCTAACTTTTCCCCCTGCCGGGAATCAAACCTAGGTTCTCTCGCTTTTGAAGCGAGTGCTCTAACCATTGAGCTTTTTATTATATACATTGTACTTTGAGCTACAGGACTCCTGTAATGTATTGGTATTCGATCACTAATAACCTGGGCAAATAGAAAAGTGCAGAAATATTTGCCAAAAACTGTAGGAAATTTTTGACAAATTTTGCAGGAAATTGATTGGGAGTAACATAATAATAATCCTTGCATTTGATATAGCGCTTTTCATGTCTTTTCGACATCTCAAAGCGCTTCACAGAATAGACTGTAAAGTGAATTGACGATATATTTGTGGGACATATACCTCAATAGCAGCAATCTACACTTTTTCACTTTATTGATGAAAACTAAACATGAGGAAATAACATATATTAGATTTTTGTAACAAAAAAAATCATGAATTGCTTGTTTAACAAAAACTGGTGGGCCCATTTTTTTTTGGCGGGGGGATGGGGGGTAGCAAGCCTACAGGAGGAGCTCACCACCTCCTGCCTCTCAGGGCCCAGGATCACACACAGAGACAAAGAGAGACAGCAAGACAGATTCACCACACACACACACCTTATAGAAACATGCGTGCGCACACATATACGCTCTTATATCAAAGCCAGTTGTTATAACAATAAGGTACACATTTCACTAGAAACCCCAATGGGTGCGTTTTCACCAAAAGAATCCCAACACGACATGATCTTAACCAATGGAGAATGGCTAGGACACAAACTCAGATCTAGCATTTTTATCCAGCTCATTCAATGTAGACCACATCTGATTATAATACCTTCCCCAAAATACCCTCAATTCAAGAAATAGGCAAACCGTTGGGGGTGGGAGAGAAGAATCTGGGAGATCCCAGTGAAACTATACTAAATTTCTTCAATCCAATTGCCAGTCCCTCACAATTTGAAGAGAGCAGTAGCAAACCAACAGTTGCCCTGAATATCCCCTCAAATCGTCACTCACCTTCCCTTTGCCAACTGTACAGATTACCCTACCCTCATGATAAAGGTACCAGATTTATTTTAAACCCATGAGTTGAGTGATTTAGGAATGTGATGTCTGATATCTTATGTATTGCAGCAAAAGAACCTTATGCCAAGTGTAGCAAGGGAGCAGTCATTTCTCACCATGAACTGAAGAAAGAAAGCTTTGTATCCTCCCTTCAGGATGTAGAGCTCTGGGTAGTGGAGTTTGGGGTATTTGTTCACATTCCGGTCCTCTTCTCTCAGCAAGCGACACCTTCAAGCAACGAGAGTGCACCCTGATTAATACAGTGAAAGTACACAATCTGCAAACAACTTAACGTTTATCTAAAGCAAACAGTACAAATTCCATTCATTTTAGCATCTCCACTCTTTCAGTTAAAGGATCACTTCCAGTTGGACCCAATAGACTAATTCTGTTCATCAAACCTCTCACCTTCTCTTCAGTTATTTAAGCCACAACGCTCCCAACCTCTAGAACTCCCACCTCTCTAGATATCCCACCTTAAACCTACGTCTTCAACCTCTCCCTCCTACTCTTCCTCACTCAGTGTCCTATCCTGCCATTATAAAGTATTCTAAGGTGTTCTTATGTGAAGGGTGCCAAATAAATGCAAGTTATTAAGAAAACAATTAGCCCAACTCACATCTTTGGTCCTCGAACGTAAGAAAATTCACAGTGGAAGATGAGAATGATGCGCTGGTCTCTGAATACGGGAACAATGGGCTCCTTTAAGAAGTAGTTGATTACACTGTCTGCCTTGTGAAGGTTCAGAGAACCCTGGAAAGCACCAAAATCAGCACAAACAACAATAGACAGTCACCCAACCCGAGAGAGAACCGACCCCCCCCCAGCCACCCGAGAGGGAGAGGCATCCATAAACACTCACGTTTGCAACATTCAAATGTCAGATCCTCACTCGGAGGGTGGGGGGGTGGAGCCGAGAAGCCTCCAACCACCTTCCTTACCTCGATATGCCCTCCTTCATACTCGTAAGGATAGCGACAGTCGATGATATAAGTTCTCGACACAACATCATTATATTCACCACGCAGTACAGCAGCCATCTGTGCAACATAAACCAGGTTTTGGTGAGTCTTTCTAGGGCAATTGTTCCTTCCCTACCCCATTCCCCCTTCATCTCATCCATGACAGGGACCAGATCTCCAACACTGAAAAGTGGAGAAAAGATTCAAGGCTAGAAAATTGTAGCTTCTATGTGAACAAACCCAATTTATAGTTACACAACTGGAAAGTTGGCACAGCCAATGGTAAGACACCACACCAGACAATGGGGTTGGAGAACAATTCGTTGGAGCCCTGCAACTATTGGTTAGAGCACTCGTCACGAGAGGACCCGGGTTCGATTCCCAGGCAGGGTGAAACCTTAGGCAAATTTCCTTACTCCACATGCCTCAGTTTACCTAGCAGGAAGTAGGAACCAGGTTGCTTTCCAACGTAAAAATCACTCAAAAAAGTAAAATTGGATCATTTCTGGCAAGTTTATTAAAAAGGTGCTTAATAGCAGTGAACTGACCGTGGCTGGGGTGATATACATCAGATCCTCCTGTCTTCCATTCACTGTGGGCAGCAGGTACCTCTGTCAATAATGCAACCAGTTATTATGATCAATGCAAGCATTTCAATTAAGGAAATCTATCCTTATTTTTCTTTTGTAATGTTAAGAAGTTGCAATGAATCACAAGGCTGGAGCACTCCAACCTCACAGGCTGTTGGACACCAGCCACACCAAACAGATAATAAAGATGAGGAGGTAGAAGAAGACCATAAAATGAGAAAACTGGATGTTATATTTTATGTATGAAAGGACATTGAATATAAAGTTGGAGTACTGTAGGCATCATTACAGAAAGATGAAGTGTTTTTTTACAAAAAAGAACCTGACCTTGGAACCATTTTCCATCTGATCGATGTCAGTTTCCTCATCAAAGTCTGTGGTGTTGGCAGTACAGCTGGTTGTGGTCAGTCTCTACACAGAGGAAAATATTCTGACGATCAGAACACCCAGAAATGGTCACTATACAATTGACTCAACTGTGGGTTTCAAGAGGGAAGGAGATAGGTATATGTAGGTTACAGGCTTGATAGGGTGTGGGGATAAAGCGGGGCAGTGAAAATGAATGAACACTTTGATACAAGAGCTAGTGCACATTTAAAGCCTCCTTCCTTCTATGCCACAAATATCTATGACTCCTGAAGAGCCCCAGAGACTACTTACTTAGCTTCATCCTAGTAAGTAGTATATGGTACTTATTGGAAATCAAATTTGCTTCCTGGTGCAAGGTCCTGACTAATGGACTGCAATAATCTGGGTCTGTACAAAGGAATGACATAGACCACCCTCTGAACAAAGAGTTAGGTCCATTACTTCAAACTGTCAGCACTTTCTTTTCCCTGCTCGTAGATTTGTGAGCTCTGCATCTGTCCATAGCAGCAACCTCCTCCACCCCCACTCACACTGTAAGACAGAAATGCATAACAGGCTCCTCACCACTGAGGTACCCTCACACTGCTTGGGGTCATCACCCTGTAGGGAGTTTCTTTGTCTCTTATTCTTCACTGCAATGTCCAAATCTCGAGATCGGTCCACCCTCTTCAGTAAACGCTGGTTCAGTTGCTCAGGCATAGAGGGTGAACGAAACAGGCCAGGCTTACTCCTGCGCACTGGTACCTAATGCAGGAAATAAACAAACTGCAATGTGGTCGAAAGTATTTACTAATACTGCAAAATCTAGGTCTCTGTATGGAAGAATTATATACTGACTGACATTTACACACACCCACTGATCAAAAACAAATTAGGCCCATTTCAACAACAAATTACATTTGTATAGTGCCTTTCACGTTGGGAGGACATTCCATGACACCGGACAGTCAAGGATTCAGACCCAAGCAGGGGTTTGGGAACAGGAGGGATGGAGGGCAGGAAGGTGGCCAAATGCGCAGTCTTGAGAAGTGCCTTGAAGGAGGCAAGGGAGGGAGTGAGGCAAAGGGGATGTGGTATGGAGTTCCAAAGAGGGGAGGCAGAGAGCCTGAAGGCCTGACCGCCAATGGTGGGGTGAGCTGGGTGGCTAACGTGTAACAGGCGGGGGGAGCGGACAGGTTAATAAGATGTTAACAGGTCAGAGCTAGGAAGGGACAAGGCCATGGAGGGCTTTGAAGGTGAGGATTTTGAACTCTATCCTCTTTATGATGGGGAGCCAGTGGAGCTGGGGGAAGATGGAGGTGATAGGGTCACAGAGCCTGGTGCAGGAGAGGACATGAGCTGCAGAGTTCTGGATGATCTTACAACAACAACTTATATTTATATAGCGTTTTTCGCGTCAGTTAAACCTAATCTCAACGTAGTACCAACGCAGGCACACCATTATTTGTGGGATTGGATATCGGACATGTGTGTCTTCTGACAGATACGAAAATTCTCATTGTCCGTTAAAAAGGGCTTTCTCTCAACTTCTGCTTCAAACAACTTAGCTATTCAGCTACTATTCAGCCATTGCACACCTGAAGAGTCTTCCATAATAGACCTACAAGCCCAATACACTCCCTAATGTGAAGTCCTGTAGCTCAGTGGTTAGAGCACTCGCTTCGCAAGCTAGAGACCTGGGATTGATTCCTGGCAGGGCGAAACATTGGACAAGTTTCCTACTCCACACGCTTCTGCTTACCTAGCAGTAAGTAGGAACCAGATGTTATTTGATTGGTGGGTTGCTTTTTCGGGTGTAATAATTCCCTCAAAAAATAAGAAATTGGTCACTCAATCCACGACTGTTTGTGGGACATGCTGTGTGCGATTGGGCTCCTCGTTTCGGCCATAAAATGTACTCAATTCTCTTTGTAGTATATTCTGTGAAGCACTTTGAGATGTCTCAAAGACATGATAAGATGCTATATCAAATGCAAGAACTACATATTATAATATATACCCAAGCTTAACTTTGTGCTTAACTGGGGGGGGTTCAAATGGGATGTAACTTATATGCTTGCATGTATTCCCATACACACTGTTCCCAAATCAGATTTCGTAGAGCAAATGTCTTGGCCTTAAATTAATTCTCCTGTGTTTACAATAGGAAGCTAGAAGGGACAATATTTGTGAGCAGTACATCATAGACATACACACAGTGCAATGCCTCCCTGACAGAACCAGCAGCCCTCCTGACTCTCACAGGAGGTTTTGTCTCTTACCACACTAACGTTTGCCTCCTGATTCAGGAAATCACTGTTGAGAAGCATTGCCATGCTGGAGGACATTATCTTGCTGTCATTGCTCTGTGGAACAGGAGAGTTAGAATTCAGATAAACCACTAATTGCTCAGTCTCTACCAAACGAGAAGCAGATTACAGCCCATTATACAGCTCAGTGTCTATTTTCAGCGCCAACAAATCCTCACTCCAACACTCATTCAGAGTAGTCAATTGCAGTGAGTTGAGGGATAGACAGAATGCATTTAGAGCACTCAGCAGAATGTTAAAGTCCTTACTGTTACCATCAGATGGGAATGCAGAGTTAAGACGGAAGAAAAGATTTCTCCATGTACCAACAAAAGCCACTGGACTCAGAGTGTGGTGAAGCGATAATGTGATATATCAAATGCAAGGATTGTTATATTATTTTAATTTTAAAAAGTGATAAATATTCAAGTTCTTTCTTACCTTGGCTTCATTCTGCATCAACTCAGAAAACCCATCCTTCTCCACGTCATCGTTCATGGAGTTATCCAGGCACCAAGACTCTATTGAAGTAGGATGAGCGACTTCATGCATCTCAAAATCAAACTAAGATGAAGACAATAGCATTATAGCAGAAAATAGTAGAAAGCACTATTGCCTTTCTTTTCAAGAACATTTTAAAAATCAGCCTTCTCTGTATAAATTAATACAGGCCCATCTTAATTTGCAGTTTGGGTCCTCTGCAGTGAAATGTGAGTTCTTTAGCTTCGTGATTAGAGCACTCGACTTGCAAGAGAGGACGTGGATTCAATTCCCAGGCAGGGAATAACCTTTGGCAAGTTTCCTTACTCCACATGCCTGATTATCTAGCAATAAGTAGGAACCCGGTTGTTAGGCGATTGGCAGATCGTTTTTCCGGGGGTAATAATCGCTTCAAAATAATTAACAATAATTTGGTCACTCAATCCATGACTGTTTATGGGACACTGCTGTTTGCAATTGGTTGCCACGTTTCACCCACAAAACTCAGTCAATTCATTTTACACTATATCTTGTGAAGCGCTTTGAGACATCTCGAAGAGGTGATAAGGCGCTATATCAAATGCAAGGATTATTATTATTATTATAATACTAACAACAATAAATGCTATGCTGAGTTAACAGATCTTAACCAAGGCCTCAAATGTATGTGAATCTCAAAGTCTCAAAAGCCTATTTGACCATGCTGGGCACAGGAACATGAACTGTCCTTTCTCCCCCACATCTGCGCCATGAACAGCACTGCCTACCACCACCTCCGCAACATTGCCACTGCCTCACCCCTCAGGCTGCCTCACCCACTCATTCGTCACATCAAGGCTTGATTATGGAAACTTCCTCCTCATCGGCCTTACCAACTCTTCCCTTCACAAGCTGCAGATCACCCAAAACTCTGCAGCTCGTGTACTCTCGAGCACCAGGCTCCGTGACTCCCTCGCCTGACTCCACTGGTTCCCCATCCCTCAGAGGATCAAATTCAAGATCCTCATCCTCACATCTGACTACCTCTCTGTCCTGCTGACTCCCTACCAACCTGCCTGCTCCCTCCGTTCAGTGGGCTCCGGTTGCTTCATGCCTCCCACCTGACCATCGGTGGCCGGGCTTTCAGCCTCTCTGCCCTCACACTCTGAAACTCCATCCCACAGTTCCCTCGCCTCGCTTCCTCCCTTGCCTCCTTCAAGGCCGGTCTCGTCACCCTCCTCTTCGATTGCACGTTCAGTCGCCCTCCCACCTCTCTGCCTTCCCTCACCCCTACCCCACCCCTCCCCCATGCTCGGGTCCTGACCCGACTCTCCAGCGCCTTGGGACGTCCTCCCGATGTGAAAGGCACTCTGTAAATGCAATTTTGTTATTGTTGTGATGTTTTACCCGATTCAACTGGAAAAATGACCACTTAGGAGATGCATTTGAAAGCATCTATGGAACCACATACAGGCACAAATCAACGATTTATGGTCAATTTTCCAACAGGCAAGAACAATAATAATAATCCTTGCATTTGATATAGCGCTTTTCACGTCAGGAGAACGTCCCAAAGCGCTTCACAGAACACACTGTAAAGCGAATTGACTGTATATTTGTGGGCGAATAGTACTGAGTTGGGGTTGCCAATCCCTAAATCCACAGCATAAATCCAATGCTAATTACACCAGACTGGCAATCGGACTCACTGGATCATAAAGATAACTTGTGGAGGAATAAATATCACACTGGAGCCAGTAGAGGGTGCACACTCAACTCAGTTGGTCGAAGCACACACTTAGGCAAACACCCAACTCAGCATTAACCAGAGTATTCTTGATGGCATCAACATGTAGGAAATTATTCCACTTGTTGGCACTAATTGACACTACTTCGATAGCCAGGAAAGGCCATATTACCTCTTGAAAGATATTCCAGTGAAAAACGCAATATTGATCCGTGGAATGCATCAGAATGTGCTATAACAAGAAGTAATTTTAGCAAAACACACGCCTTACATTTTCCTTGTCGTCACCCAGGCTGTTGAAATCTATACACTCTCTGGCCTGGGTCCTGGAGCCAGACCCCCGGAGTGATGAACTACTACAGGGAACCTGCGGCTGCAAGAGAAAACATTGTAAACAGTGAATAATCAGAAATTAAACTCATCTTCCCCAGTTCAGACATTGGGAAGGACAGACAGAAAGGGCAGGATATAATGTAGACTAATAACTAATTAGTACAAGGCTCTTTTGTGGCCATCAACCATATAAGAACTGCTGGAAACCACACGTTTTCCCCTGAAATAGATTCCAATATAATGGATCCTTTCCCACGCTGCTGTCCAAAGCTCATCAATTTAGATTGTGCATCCAGCACAGAAGCAGATATACAGGAACAGCAAAACTCAATCTTGTAAAGGAAGACTGGGAAGAAGTTGCGAGCCAATAGATGTGTGAGGGGAGGTATAAGCAAAAGGACAAGAGTTTGAAGGGACATGAGCATAATCTCCGCAGTTTGGGAAGAATATAATATGAAAATCAATTATACTTTGCTTAGTTTAAGAAATTGGATTTTCAGCTCTGGGAAGGATGGTACATATAAGTGTGTATAATGAATTTAGAAATGTGGACAATAATCCTTGCAATTTATGCACAGCAATGTCCCAAACAACCTACAAATTGACCAATTTTGTTTTACACATTATTTAATAATTATTTGGGGAGGACATGTTTGCAGGGCTATGGGGAGAGAGTGGGGGAGTGGGGTTGATTTGGATAGCTCTTTTCAAAGAGCAGACATAATGGACCAAATGGCTTCCTTCTGTGCTGTATAATTCAATGAAATCTGGGGGATTACTGGTCAGGACCGCGGTTAGAAACTCCATTTTCTTTTTGATTTCAAGATCCTCATCCTCACCTACAAGGCCATTCACGGCCTTGCTCCCTCCTACCTCTCCAACCTACTATCCCCCTACCTACCTGCCCGTACCCTCCGTTCCTCCGGCTCCGGTCTGCTCCACGTCCCCCGCCCCAATCGCCCTACCATCGGTGGCCTTCAGCCTCTCAGCCCCCAGGCTCTGGAACTCTATCCCCCAGTGCCTTCGCCGCTTCCTACCTCTCCTCCTTCAAGGCTGGTCTCAAAACCTTTCTCTTTGACCGAGCCTTCAGCTCCCCTCTCGACTCTCTTCCCCCTCCTCGCTCCCTCCCTTCCCTCCCCTCACCCTGACCATTTCCCCCCTCCTCGCTCCCTCCCTTACCCCCCCTGACCATTTCCCCCCTCCTCGCTCCCTCCCCTCACCCTGACCATTTCCCCCTGCTCGGGTCATGACCCAACTGTGCAGCGCCTTGGGACGTCCTCCTGACGTGAAAGGCGCTTTATAAATGGAATCTTGTTGTTGTTGTTGTTGTTGAATGGTCCCATGGGAACCTGAACATCTATCTTAACAGTAGACAGGACCTCAATTTAATCTCTCAACTGAAGGAGAACAACTATGCAACATTCCCCTAGCAATGCACTGGAGTGTCAGTCAGCCTAGACTATGAGCTCAAAGGATAAGTTTTTTTTTCTAATTTGTGCATGATAGAAATTAAACCGGTTTGGACAAATGTTCTTAATTTTGTTTCCCAGGTCACCCTTAAATTCCTTGGCAGAGAAATAAACTGAAAATAAACTTACCAGAAACTGGTGGATTCTTCCCACAGGGCACTTACTGCAACATAGAAGGGCAGAGGAGATGGAGTTACGATCTGTATCAAAGAATCAGCAAGCGGCAGCAGGGTAATTGTGCAGGGAAGATGAAGCAAGCTTAGAATCAGATAATAATAATCCTTGTATTTGATATAGCAACTTTCAGGAGGTTGTCTCAAAATGCTTCACAAGATTTACTGAAAAGTGAAGCGACTATTTTATAAGTGAATAGTGCCATGGAATCTAATAACCACTTGAAAAAGTAGATGGGATCTCTGATTAATGTGTCACCTGGAGGACAGCACCTCCAATAATGCATTGTCATGACGAGAACACAACAGCAGTACAGTTCAGAATCTTTCATCTTCACATCAGCCAAATGGAGATTTGTGACTAACAGGAGAGTGGATAATTAATCATTGATAATTGAGATGCTGTCCGCCTGTTCAAGTGAATGTTCAAAATCCCACGACTCTATTCAAAAAGAGTTTCTCTCTCCCAGAGGCCTGGGTAACAATTCCCCAAATAAACTTGGTCACTCACTCCATAGCTGTGTGCAAACTGACTGCCATGTTTCGCCCACAAAAGACACAGTCACTGCACTTTACAATATACCCTGTGAAGTCCTTTGAGATGTCTTGACAACATGATAAGGTGCTATATCAAATGCAAGGATTATTATTGCTATATTTTCACATTCTTATACAATACAAACACAAATATTAATTCAAAAACAACAACATTTCATTTCTAGAGGGCCTTTCACGTCAAGAGTACGTCCCAAGGTGCTGGACAGTTGGGTCGGGACCCGAACAGGGGGGAAATGGTCAGGGTGAGGGGAGGGAAGGGAGGGAGCGAGGAGGGGTTAGAGAGTCCAGAGGGGAGCTGAAGGCACGGTCAAAGAGAAAGGTCTTGAGACCGGCCTTGAAGGAGGAAAGGGAGGAGGCGGCGAAGGCGCTGGGGGATTGAGTTCCAGAGCCTCGGGGCTGAGAGGCTGAAGGCCCGGCCACCGATGGTAGGGCGGTTGGGGCGGGGGATGTGGAGCAGACCGGAGCCAGAGGAACAGAGAGTATGGGCAGGTAAGTAGGGGGATAGTAGGTTGGAGAGGTAGGAGGGAGCAAGGCCGTGAATGGCCTTGTAGGTGAGGATGAGGATCTTGAATTCGATCCTCTGGGGGATGGGGAGCCAGTGGAGGCGAGCGAGGGTGGGAGTGATGTGGTCGCGTAGCCTGGTGCGGGACATTACACGAGCTGCAGAGTTCTGAATGACCTGCAGCTTGTGGAGGGAGGTGCCGGGAAGGCCGGCGAGGAGAGAGTTCCCATAGTCCAGCCTTGAGGTGATAAAGGCGTGGACCAGAGTTTCAGCAGCGTGAGGTAATCTGGCGATGTTTCAGAGGTGATGGAAGGCGGTGCCAGTTGTGGCGCGGATATGAGGAAGAAAGGACAGCTCAGGGTCGAACAGAACGCCGAGGTTCCTGACTGGCTTTGAGAGGTGGAGAGTGCAGCCTTGGATGCTGATGCTGTCAGCGCCTGAGGTGCGGAGGCGCTGACGTGAGCCAATCAGGAGGGCATCAGTTTTGCGCACGTTGAGCTGAAGAAAGTCGTCTCTCGTCCAGGACTCAATGTCAGACAGGCAGCTGTCAGGACATCGGTGGTCGTGGAGTTGAGGGTCGAGGAGGAAAGGTAGAGTTGGGTGTCATCCGCATTCATGTGGAAGTTAACCCCATGTCTGCGGATGATGTCACCAAGGGGGAGCATATAGAGGGTGAAGCTGTTTAAGAGGAATGGCTCTGTGCCCTTTGAGAGGTGGATGATCAGTATTCCCCATGAACCAGGGATTCTACTCATGGACGCTGAAAATCTCAACGAGAAAGTTTTTCAACATTACATACCATTCTCCTGCCTGTGGTTCCTTTGTCCGAGGCGAGGCGAGACACAAATCTGAATAAACAGAAACACTTTCATAAACACACAGTTCTGGTTTCTTTTCTCTCCACATCTGTCTCCGGGCAAATGTCAACCATTCCAACTGCCTCACCACAGATCCCATGCCACACACAATAACTAATTGATCATTTAGAACATTGTAGCACAACATAAAAACCATGACTGCACCCAGTTAAAATGATAGCAAACCAAAGTTATAAATGTGTTACTGACCCTTCTGTATATTCTCTGGGGATACAGACATCTCACCTCCATTACTCAGATTCGACAGGTCCAGGCAGCGTTTGGGGGTGTCACTGAAGCAGAAGCAGAACGGCTCAGCCATCCCTTATACCCAGCCCCAACCACCCACACCCCAGCTCCAAATTCCATCACCACACATCACAGTCCATCTAGCAATAAATTACGCATCATATGTGCTAAGCTCATTCAAAACACATTAGGTCCCTCTCAATGAGAGTTGAAATGGTCCTTTTAGCTTCATATCTGACCAATAAAGGCCCCTTTACAATGCTGGGGACGGCAATATCTACCACTTCAGTAGTGTTTGAGAAGCCACCAACATTTAAGGGGGTTTCCATATAATGCACATCCTCCTGGAGGATTCCACTGGAGGAAAGTACCTCTGATCTCCAAAATCCGATTATACTTCTGTTTCCCAACTCCACTATTTAACCCAAGCCTGCTGCTTCCTCCCTCCAAACCAAAGACAAGTTTCCTCCATCCAAGCAACAGAGAAACCATCAATGTCTTGTGGAATGCTCAAATATCTCTACTATCAGTAAGAAAGGATTATTTCACTCCCATACCCTCCTTCACCACATACCTTCAGCCTGCCTCACTTACCCACCACTGGAGCTCAGGTTGCTCATGTTGAGTGACATCTGGGCTTCCGGGGAGAAGGACATGGAGGAATCAATGTCCCACATGATAGACATCACCTTCCTGCATCCCAGTCGACAGCTGGTAGTCGCAAAATTATCTTCATTCTCATCCATCTGCCACCTGAAAAAGAATGAAAACTTTAATCTGACTAGCCACTGGGTTCTCATACAGGGAGACATTCTACCGTTTGCGGTAGATTGCCTCCAATTGAATTAAACAATAAATTTGAAACATTTTTCTTCTCCTCAAGGCTAGGTTTCACAGATGTTAGTACTCACCCATGGGCTCACTTTACCCCATGGAAGCAGAGACAACAATAACTTGCATTATATAGCACCCTTCAGGCAGGGTAGCATCTCAGAGAGCTTAGTAATACGTCTTGGAGATATGGTGATCATAGGCAGAAATCTGGTTGATTGTCCCTTTTTCACCTCCAGGGACTCAGAGGTCAATAACAGCATTCCAACCAAGAACAGACATTTATTATTGGAAGATGCATTCACCAAGAGATTATCAAACCAATCACAATCTAAAATTCATCTCAAAGAGAAGGGAATTTCTCCCGCTGCCATGGCCAACAATTTCCCGAAGTTAAAAATGGTCATTCACTTCTTGGCTGTTTGGACATTACTGTGTACAAATTGACTGTGACATTCAACACCAAAACACAGTTACTAAACTTTACCGTACTTTGAGACATCTTGCTGACTTGAAACACACTATACCAAATGTAAGCATCATCATCATCAGTTTTGAAAATAATGTCTCTGTCCATAAATATATTACACAATGCAATATAAGTTTGAACCATGAAGACCCGGGTCCATGTGGTGAGTTATCCAGGTCGGAAATTTGCATTTCTGGAGTAGGCCATTTGGGGGAGAAAGACAATGAGTGAAGGGACAGAGTCAGATGTAGAACTGCATTGGTACAGGGTGCTCTCTGAACAATCGTTTACCTCTTTTGAACTACGAAGAGGGAAGTTATCACATACGAGATTGGCTCTAGCTTAACCAACTGCGAGTTTTCTCTGAAAAAGCATGGAGTCCCCCTCCCAACTTCTCTGATCACTTTGGCACTTGTCATGGCTGATTTCTGAAAAATGCTGCTCAACCATTAATCCATGGTGTTATAACTTGATTGCCTCGCCCCAGCAGTCCATATGTGGGTATAATTTCTCAATTAACCCAGCGTCTAAGGGATAAATTCTCTCTAGCTTACCCCAAGCTCCTACTGTAAGGAATTAATTTCTTTATTTCTTATCGTGTCCGCTTGTTTAGGAGCTTTAAATTTTCTCTATCACGCCATCTTGAAGCGATAATCTCACTCTGTTTCTTACCTAAACCTGCTGAACAAAAGTCATATTTTTTTCTTTTCCGTTTAACTTCAACTCCCATTTCCTGGCTCAGTGCATTATTTGTTACCCCATCGCGATCTTACCCTCCAACTCCTGGTAAGAAGGACACTGTGCTTCTCTCCTGTCGCGGCTCCTGATCAGGTCTGTCCACTTCCGGCTTCAAATGGATTTTAAATTTGCCGCATTGACGTGAGACGTCACGGACCAATGACGTATCGCTCGACATATCCACCAATCACAGCGCTTTATCGAGCTTTCTTCACGTTCATTTGTCAGGGATTCCAGACCCTAAACTCGATTGGATCAAACGGGTGTCAATCATTCATCAGTGATTGAGCTCTCACCTTCCAGTGGAACTGAGTATCAACGTGTCACCTCCCCAAGTGGGACTTGTCATCTAATAGTAATCATATCTGTGGTGAAATAAACTGCTCTAAAATATATTATCAGCTTCAGCCGCCCAATTAATCCCCTGCCTATCCCCTATTCTCTGTTGTTCTTAAACTCTCCAAACTGGTTGCCGTGATTGCCCACAATAATCCAAAACACTTTACAGTATAGCCTGTGAAGCGCTTTGAAACACCTCGATGATGTGATAAGGCACTATATTAAATGCAAGGAATATTATTATTGTAATCTAGTTTAAGTGCTCGAAGACACTATGTAAATGTCCTACCCACAACATCAAGACAACCTTGGTCAAAGTCCTCTCTGAGTTGTCTCTGTCATCACCAGGGCTCACTGTGCCTCCACAACCACTCTGTAGCCTCAGATACTGTTGGCCACTGACATTGGAGTATCAGCCTACACTGTGAGTTCAAAGTCCCGACGAGAGGCTTGAACTCACAACCTTCTGACTCAGGAGCGAAAATGCTGCCATCTGAGCCAGTTTGACACCTGAAACCCTTCATCCCATCATTGACCAATTCCACCTTCTTTCCTCCACCTCAGTGATGTTAGCCACTTCCATGCCTATTTCATCCCCACCATAGTCAAGCCCTCATTCATGCTTCATAATGTCTCAACAATTTGGTCACTCAATCCACGACTATTTGTGGGATGTTACTGTGCACAATTGGCTGCCACATTTCGCCCACAAAATACATAGCCAATCCCACTTTACAGTATATTCTGTGAAGCGCTTTGAGATGTCTCAACAACGTGATAAGGTGCTATATAAAATGCAAGGATTATTATCATACTAAAGAACCAAAATAAAATAATTGCATAGCTTATAAAGATCACAAGATCAATAATAACTTGCATTTGTATGGAGTCCTGTAGCTCAGTGGTTAGAGCACTCGCTTTGCAAGTGAGAGACCTGAGTTCAATTCCAGGCAGAGGGCGAAACCTTGGGCAAGTTTCCTTACTCCACACAGAGCCTAATAATAATCCCTCCAAAACCAAAAACAATAATAAATTGGTCATTTTCAATCTACGACTGTTTGTGGGACATTGCTGTGCGCAATTGGCTGCCGCGTTCGCCCACAAATATACAGTCAATTCACTTTACAGTGTATTCTGTGAAGCGCTTTGGGACGTCCTCCCGACGTGAAAAGTGCTATATCAAATGCAAGGATTATTATTATTATTATTATTAAGGGGTAGTGTCTCAGATCGGTTTGGATGAAGAAAGCCCTTCGGCCAAATTGATCTCAATCTTCTCAAATGCCCACCCATCTTCCCATCACAGCAAAAAGCTGAAGGGGATGCAAAATGTTGCCACAATGCACATGGGCTTTAGGTTCCTTGTGAAGCTTTACTGTAACTTGGTATGTTTTGTCATTTTCACAGAAGTTAAAGGAAAAATAATGTAGTAAGATTCTGAATGACATCAGGTCACTGGCGGCCCAGCTGGTAAAGGCATCACATATCATGCAGAAAAGGAAGGTTCTCAGGTTTGATTCATATGGTATCCTAGTTAGGGTAGCAATTAGGGAAACTACAATGGGCTTTGTGATCCTGGACTAAGGAGAGGGTGATTCAGTCCAAAAATAGTCAGGAGGGAGCAAATCAGAGGGACTCCGGGATAAAGCTGTAGAGAGTGGAGCCAAAATGGTTGATATTCTGAAGGTTTGCCCACCAATGATGGGGTGAAGTGGGCAGGGGACTTGAAGCAGGGCAGTGTTTGCTGAGTGGCTGGGTAGCAGGGTTGCTGAAAGTCACAGAGGTAGGAAGGGCAAGGCCATTGGAGCCATATGAAACTGAGGACAATTCTTATCCTAGAAGACCTAAATTACCAAGTCAGCATTTTGGTGTCAGCTTTTGTTTAAAAAGGCCCCCGTTTAAACTCCAATTAAAATGTGCATGATTGGGTGGGCGGTGGAGACTGGGGGGAGACCGGGTGGGGGGAGACCGGGTGGGGGGAGACCGGAGGGGGTCGATGGGGGGGGAACGGGGAAGACCATTTAATGATGCATAATTGAATCTTTAAATTTTTTGAAATTGATTGATTTAAGATTGGTTCAGGAGGCAGGCCATGTGTAACAGATGAATGTGCTAACTTATCCAATTTGACATTCACTGCTGCTAACCATTCTCTTTTCTCACACACCAACCATTTACTGGTGTTGTGGAGTGGTCCAGGGGAAAGGAAGGTGGATGATAAGGTAAGGTCCCACCCCTATTGCAGGTGTGAGGTTTTAAAAGCCTTTCCTGCCATTCAGTTTGAGAGGAGAGGGGAATGATGTCTGCCTATTCTAGTCATAGTCGACACAGTCTTTGTGAAAACAGGTTACAATTGAACAGAATTTTTTTTATCAGGCAATAGACTTGTTTTAAATCTGTTGTCTGCAAAAATTTAAAGTATGGGAGAAAGTGTTTAAATATATTTTATAGAGTGTGAATTTGTGTATATATATATAGGTTAATTCCATCAGAAATGAATAGGTTGATATCTGGTTAAGAATGGATGTGAAGGTTTTAAAGATAAAGTTAAAACTGAAATGATCCAACACAGTGTGGGCTTCCATATGCCTGAAGTAGTTGGGGGTGGAGGTATTGTGGATATGTCTATTTTTGTGGTAAAACAAAGTTTCATTGTGGAAATCCCAATAGCTTGGGTTTTGTAACCTGATTATGAATGAGTATTACATGGAGTGGGATCCTACAGTGCAGGTAGACAATTGGTGCTGTATTGTGTGGCTTCTGAGATAGTTAATGCAGTTCTGTGGGCTTTTATATACTTGAGGCTCCTCTCAGAATGAGGGAATTATATTGGAAGCAATCTGAGCTGAATTTCAAAACAGCTCTTGGGTTGATTAGTGTCCTAATCCATTGCATAACTCCCTCCTCAATCTACTACGTCAAAAGTCACATTTTTTTCTACTTTAGGACCAGGTCTGATTATTTGATAGTATTCTGTATTGGCTTTATCCAGCTCTTGTGTGTGTGATATAAAAATCCTCTTCTGTATAGTAATAATAATCCTTGCATTTGATAAAGCGCTTTTCACAACTTCTAGATGTCTTAAAGTGTAACTGTAAAGTGAATTGACTGTATATTTGTGGGTGAAATGTGGCAGCCAATTGCGCACAGCAGTGCCTCACAAACAGTCGTGGATTGAAATGACCAATTTATTATTGTTTTTTTTGAGGGATTATTATCAGGCGTGTGGGGTAAGGAAATTTGTCCAAGGTTTCACCCTGCTGGGAATTGAATCCAGGTCTCTCACTTGCAAAGCGAGTGCTCTAACCATTGAGCTACAGGACTCCACGTATATCAGAATGTACTTGGCTGTCATAATGCCTGTGTGTGATGTAGTCCAGTTTACAATTACACTGTATGCATAAAACATTTGCAATTTTATTTTTTTAAACTTTTCACAGCCTCCCTGCTGTGGATGCCCACTTGCCGTGGTTACCCTTTGGGCATGTTGGTTCTACAGCACTGCCAGACATACACAAGACCAGTCATATGGTGAGGCGGTAAGTGTAACAGTTTGTGGAGTCTTGTATGCAGAGCTTCTTGTACACTCTTGTAGTACTATTGCTTGATGCACCCGGGCGAGTGTGACCGGGAGCTGATTCGAGGCTGTTGGGCAAGTGGTAATCAATAGCGGCGGTGGTGGGCAAACTGAGCAAGTTGTTCCAACATGTGCAGTAGATAGGTCAGCGGGAGCCGGCAAGTAGAGCTGAGGTCTCGGGGATTGAGATTAGTTGCGGGCACGAGCAGATGAGTGAGAATTGGTTGGAGTTGTCATTTCAAAATCTTCTGCCTGAACCAACGGCCATGTGATGTAATTTCCTCCAGGAATCAGGTCTAGTAAAGTTTTTATTATTATTTCCTTCCCTTCCTCTCTCTTCTCTCTGTTACTTGATGGGTTGGGCAAACAGGTAAATAAATAATGAGTGCCCTGCCTCTAGTCCCCGCTGTCTCTATCCCTGCAGGCTGATTGTCCCTCTAATCACTTTACTTCCAGTCTCGGCATGCAAATTTTGGCTGCTGTTCCCAAAGCGAACTGCTTTCCCCCAAAATGTTCCCCATCCCTATTCTCAAACCTGCTTCACTCTCATTCTGTCCTCCTCTCCCTATGTTGACCTCGCCTCCTTTCCCCATTTGACCATCCCACAGCCTCCCTTTTGTCCAGCCTGGGAATCCTCCATTAGGCTCACTGTGGTACCCACTGCTAGCTCTCCAGCAACAGCCATACTGACTGCACCGTCCCCCATTATCGCCGCAAGGCCCATTGTCCCAGACCCCTGGGGTAAATCTCTCTTTCATCCACATTCTCCCCCGTCCCCTCCCCAACCTTCCTTTCTTAATGCTCTGTCAGAACAGGTTGATATGGGGTTCAGTTCTGACAAAGGGTCGTGGACCAGAAACGTTGACTCGCTTTCCTTTCTTTGTAGCTGCTGCCTAACCTGCTGAGTGTTCCCAGCAACTTCTATTTTTGTGTCAAACATTAAAGATTGGACCTGATCTTGTGTCTTCAGTATGACTCAGTACCACTGTGTTCGGGATAACTGTTCACTTCCTTAATAGGAGGGTGGGATGTGTTTGTGTTGAGACTGAAACTTAATTTAGACCATTTTTCGAAGGAGTTAAAGCTTTGTTTCCATTTGTCAAAGTGTTAGTATAATTTAAAAAAAAAGTTTAATTAAACGAGGAATTAAGTTTTGCAATTGAAACTACGCTAAGTTGCACTGGACATCGAATTTTGATCATTTCCCCTGTTTTATCAGGTCTGAAGCATACTTGCCGAGGACAGTCAGCGTAGGGGTGGGA